CCCCAAAACCCCAAAACCCCAAAACCCCAAAGTTGAGCTATTAGTTATCGAGTAAAGCTAAATAGGTAGAAAAGATATAATTTAAATTCGATATTCAGATTAAGTAATCACTCCCTTGAAACCTAAACATTATGGAATAAATGGACACAAAAGATCAACAGATCTTCCAAAAAATTTAAGAAACTTTCTCCTCAACTGATATCAGAACAGTTTACGCATTTGAAAAGCTGATCGGAGGTGGTCATTTCGGTTCAGTAAGAATTGCCCACAGAATAACTGACCCTCAAGTGAAGTATGCTGTTAAATCGATCCTTAAGGAAAACATCAAGAAAGATGTTAAATTACTTGAAGAGGAGCTATCTATTCTTACTTAGGTAGATCATCCAAACATTATTAAATTCCACGAAACCTATATTGACTACAGATATGTCCATATCGTCATGGAACTAAGTGAAGGTGGAGAACTATTTGAAAAAATTGTAGAAATGCACAGGTTTAGTGAATAATAAGCGGCATCATTAATGAAGAAGATCATCTCTGCTGTAAAGCATTTACATGAAAGAGCCATCTGCCATAGAGATCTAAAACCAGAAAACTTCTTGTTTAGCGATAAGACAGTTGAAGCAGAGATTAAATTAATAGATTTTGGTCTATCAAAGAGATTTGGGCAAGTACTAGATCACGCTTCTGAAAAAATGCATACCATCGTTGGAACACCATATTATGTAGCTCCAGAAGTTTTAAAAGGCAATTATGACTTTTCTTGCGATGTTTGGAGTCTAGGAGTCATTCTATACATCATGCTATGTGGTTACCCACCTTTTGAAGGTGATAACAATAAAGAAATATTCAGAAGAGTATTGCAATAGAAGCTAGAGTTTGATCCTGATGAATGGTCAGAAGTCTCAATGGAAGCAAAGGACTTACTTGAAAAGATGCTACAAAAAGAGCCTGCAAAGAGAATTTCTGCAATCGATGCACTAAAGCATCCTTGGTTCGCTATTTCACATAGTGATAAGGCAAATCTAGATAAAAGGATCTTCTAGAGATTAAAGGATTTCAAAGCTCCTCAAAGATTCTAGGTTGAAGCACTTATGTTCCTAGTCAATAACATCACAAAGGAATTAGATTTTAAGTCATTGAGAGAAGCATTCAGAGCTATAGATAAGAAAAATACTGGCTTACTTAGTCTTACTGAAATCAAGGGAGCATTTAGAGAATGTAGAGTACCTGAAGAGGATCTAGAGGAAATATTCAAGCGTTTAGATCATGATCAAGATGGGCAAATAAACTATAGTGAGTTCCTTGCTGCAACTGTTGATAGAAAGAAAGCCTTGACAATGTAGAATTTATGGTTTGCTTTCCATCATTATGATGTCGACAACTCAGGATTTATTACCGAAGCTAGTTTGACTGAAGTCTTCCATAGAGAGGGTAAATATCTAAACTAGGAATAGGTTCATGAAATTATGGCTTAGGCTGACTAAGAAAATAAGGGAAAAATTAGCTTTGAGGACTTTTCAAAATTAATGAAAGAATTATTAGACAGTTGAGATCACGAATTGAAATTAAAGCAAGGATTTAGAATTTGCAAATTAGTATTAAATTTCTTAAGAATTAATTAAAACATCTACTACAAAATAATGGATATTTATTGCTTCTATTTTTAGAGTCTTATTTATTGAAGGTCCTCATTTCACTCACTCTTTTTCAAGGCTAATTAATTTGTATCTTCATTCTCAATCTATTTTTTAGTTTTTAGTTTAATGATAATTTATCTCTTTCTCTCAATTTCATCAAGCTATTCCTTAGTAAATACTATCTCTTTCTATGGTGACTTGCTCCTCATTTTTGTTCCATTAACACTTACACTATAATCTGTGTTGTATCTAGATTTTCTTTGGGCATTTGAATAATAGCTGGAGTTTGAGATGAAAATGTCACAGGTTATAACACTATTCTCATTTGACCTTGAAAAAGGTATTTATCCCTCCTCTTCTTCATCAACAATGTCTAACTAGTTTATTAATAAATATTTACCTTTTCTCACAAGATATTCTCGTAGCCTCAGAGTTGCTTTCTTATTTCTCTTTCTTTTATGATATTCAGTCTATTTGAAAACTATTTATTCTAAAACCCTATCTAACTCTATTAAAGTTGGTTTCAAATCAAAGATATCTTTGAGATTATTTGTGATTTTTAGATCCTCAATAGTTACTAAAAGATCCTTCATATTTGAATATTCTCTATGATTATCTAGTTTGATGAGTCTTTTTTTCTTATTAAAAAAGAGTTTGAGTATTTCCCTTAAGATTTCAAGGAGCTAATCATCATCAGTTAGTTATTAGTGATTGATTTTAACAAAATCTATGAGAGAATTTATTTTTTAAATGAAATCCAAATTAGAATACTTTCTTTTCAGAAATTCATCTTTTATTTTAAGTAGCTATTATCTTATAGGTTTCCCATCGGTCTCTCTGATTGGTGAGAATTTAGAAATTGTTTTTGACATTATTCCGAAGAAAAGAGTTGTAGAAAGAAGGAGGATGACTGATTCAATATTAATCTAATTACAATTATGTATTCATTCCTTGATCCTCTATTCATTTTTAGATAAAGATCGTGGGGTTTTGGGGTTTTGGGG